GGCAATTGTCCAGAATGGTATAAGGCAGGGGTCTTCAGCTCTCAGAATTCCTCAGCCAGACACACTGGCTAAGGAATTCTGGGAGTTGAAGTCCACAAGTCATAAAAGGGCCAAGTTTGAAGACCCCTGGCATAAGGTCTCCTGCTTGAGCAGGGGATTGGACTAGAAAACCTCCAAGGTCCCTTCCAACTCTGCTATTCTGTATGCTAAATATAAAGACCACCAAATTAATGACAACAGGTACAACAACCAGCCTTAGAATTGACAACCTAGATGTCAAAGTGTTACTGTTTTCCTTTTAAAAGCAACCATCAACTTGGCATGCTGTAGTTCAGTGGTCCCCAACCCCCCGGTCCGTGGACCGGTATTGGGCCACGGCATGCCAGCAACCGGTCCATAGAAACAAGCAAAGCCCCATCCATGGAATGCAGGCAGCACACAAAACCATGCACTCTCCGGTCCGTGGAAAAACCTTTCTCCACAGAACTGGTCCCTGGTGCCCAAAAGGTTGGGGACCTCTGCTGTAGTCCATGGGGCTGCAAAGAGTCCAGACACGACTTAGCAACTGAATAACAATAATAAAAGAACAAGCAGTCAAGAATTATGCTGTAGACTAGAACTTGGTAGAACAGCCACGAAGGCCTTGGAAAACACATTCAGAAGCCATGATGTGTCTATTCATACAAAGAGCAGAACTTTGCAAGCTATGGTATGGCCATGCTTGACTCTGTGGATAGTGAAGTTGGACTTTGAAGCAGTACAGGAAGAGTAGTGATACTTCTGAACTTTGGTGTTGGAGAAGACTCCTGCGAAGACCATTGACAGTCAAGAAAACGAACCAATGTTATCATCAAACAAATCAACCCAGACTCACTTGAGGCACAAATGACTAGACTCAAATCATTCTATTTTGGACACATCATGCAAAGATTTAGCTGTGTGGAGAAGCCTCTAATGTTGGGAAAGGTGGAAAGAAAGAGAAGAAGATGACCAACAGCAAGGGTGAGGGACTCAGTTACAGTGGTGAGAAGTACATTGTTTGAAGATCTGAAAAACAGATAGTCATGGGGGGAAAAAAATCTATGCGGTTACTAAGAGTCAAGTTGATGGTACATAAGCAATCAATCCTTAGCCAAAGAAATCAATCTTTTATCTGTCAAAGGGCATATTGAATGGGAAAAAACACCACTCCGATTTCTGTGGTGAAGAACATTTAAGATTTGTAGTCTGAAGGGTGAGGAGAAAGAAGAAGAACTAGTTAGACTTTACTCTTGATGACTGCCTGGATAAGTCCCTGCAGTTATCTTGGCAACTTTTTTGGGAATTGGTTTGCACTATCCTTCTTCTTATACAGGGGTCTTCAAACTTGGCCCTTTTACGACTTGTGGACTTCAACTCCCAGAATTCCTCAGCCAGGCATGCTGGCTGAGGAATTCTGGGAGTTGAAGTCCACAAGTCATGAAAGGGCCAAGTTTGAAGACCCCTGTTCTTACACCTGAGAGTGAGCAGCCCAAAGTCATCCAGCTGGCTTTATGCCTAAGGCATGACTAAAACTCAGTCTTTTTATCCAGGTGCCTTGCACCATTATACCATAAAAATTAAAGACTGTATGGGGTCCTTGGTGCTTTCTGAGCTTGGTTGTTTTTTTGCAGAAGTTTCATTACCCAAACTAGGTAACATCATCAGTGCTAGTCCATTATTTCAACTGTGAGCTGTCCCCTCATTTCAACCCTGACATACAAATATTTTCCTTTATTGGTTAAGACTGTATTTGGAAATCCCATTACTTACAACAAGACCTCAATGTCAGGACGTATGAACAAGCCTGGGGCAGTGTCTGCAAACAGTGAGCATTAAAATCAACACAACCAAGTCCCCAAAGCATATGCATCATTCACAGACACGTGGTGAAAAAAGTAAGGTTCTACATTTAGGCAAGAAAAACCAAATGTACAGGTATAGTATAGGGGGTACCTTGCTCAATAGTAGTAACTGTGAGAGGGATCTCGGAATCCTAGTGGACAATCACTTAAATATAAGCCAGCAGTGTGCTGCAGCTGCCAAAAAGGCCAACACAGTGCTAGGCTGCATTAACAGAGGGATAGAATCAAGATCACAGAAAGTATTAATACCACTTTACAAGGCCTTGGTAAGGCCACACTTGGAATACGACATCCAGTTTTGGTCACCACGATGTAAAAAAGATGTTGAGACTCTAGAAAGAGTGCAGAGAAGAGCAACAAAGATGATCAGGGGACTGGAGGCTAAAACATATAAGAAACGGTTGCTGGAATTGGGTATGTCTAGTTTAATGAAGAGAAGGACGAGGGGGGACAGGATAACAGTCTTCCAGTATCTCAGGCGCTGCCACAAAGAAGCGCCTGAAGGCAGGACAAGAAGCAACGGATGGAAACTAACCAAGGAGAGAAGCAACCTAGAACTAAGGAGAAACTTCCTGGCAGTTAGAACAATTAACCAGTGGAACTACCTGCCTCCAGAAGCGGTGAATGCTCCAACACTGGAAGTTTTTAAGAAGAAACTGGACAGCCATTTGTCCGAAATGATATAGGGTTTCCTGCCTGAGCAGGGGGTTGGACTAGATGACCTCCAAGGTCCCTTCCAACTTCATCATCATCATCATCATCATCATCATCATCATCATCATCATCATCATCATCATCATCATCATCATCATCATTTGTTTAACAGGACTTTGTTTAACATGCCCCGAACTAGGATAAAGTTACTCCATCCATTTTATGGCTTGAGATGAACCTTGCCATTTTGCAAACGAACAAGATTGCAATGCATTTTAAGTAATCTGCTGTACTCGGGTTTATTTCTTTCCAGAACAGCTTCATCATACAAAATACTCCTACGGTACACAGTGGGGTTGTGCAGAGCTTTGGAAATAATTCAGAAAAGGTGCCCCGGAGTGGGTAGGAGTGTCTTTCCTGAGATTCTGCAGTTGCCCCCTGCTTTAAGGAATTGCTTACAAGTGCTACCTTTTCTGCATTATTTCCAAAGTCTTATTGTTCAGCATTTTATGCAATCCAATATATTCATAATAGCAGGGCTCAGATGCATAAATTTATTGTGATGGGAACAAGCCTCATTCCAGATTTCAACACCTCCCTCTCTCATTCTGGCCCAACCATAAGAACAGAAGCCCTTCCTTCTGTTTCAATTAAGCAATTTAGTCTTACATCTGAATCTTAAACGGAGAGCGATCCTAAGCTACACTTTCACGAAACAAGACTGCAGGATGGAACGTGACACAAACCCTGGTTAAGAATAAATGTACCGTGCCAGGTTCTGTAAAAATGAAAATGAGGGTTACCAAATTTCCCTCGGCTGCTGCACAGAGGTGGAAGATGGGAGAGTGTTTCTGACATATTTTAGTGGGACAAGCAATAGCAACATCTGGAGGACCTCGGCGTAGCTGTTAAAAACATTTAGCAACAAAGCTAGAAAAAGGCAGCAGAGGGGATGTTGTGTAATGTTTATTCCAAACATTTTATATTGTTGATTAGAATGATTTCGATCCCATGGATTCGGGGCTCACAAAGTAATTATATAACGGGGGGGGGGGGGGAAATGGAACAGGATTTTTTACAAAAGCATCGTTACATAATTAGAACAGACACTTTCCTTGGGAAGCTGTTCTACAATATCAGTCTTACATTTGATGTTGAGACTTCAGAAAGAGTGCAGAGAAGAGCAATAAAGATGATCAGGGGACTGGAGATTGAAACATATGTAGAACGGTTGCAGGAATTGGGTATGTCTAGGACAGTGATGGTGCGAACCTTTTAGAGACCCAGTGCCCAAACTGGAACCCAAAACCCACTTATTTAATACGGGGTGCCGGGAGGGCGTGGTCGCGGTGCTGATGGCAGACTGGGTGAGTGGGGCCAGGGTGGCGAGGCCCAGTCCCTCGCCATCTCCAGGGCACGACACGCGTGCCCACAGAGAGGGCTCTGAGTGCCGACTCTGACACGTGTGCCATAGGTTCGCCACTACTGGTCTAGTCTAACAGAGAGAGGGACCAGGGGTGACATGATAGCAGTGCTCCAATATTTGAGGGGCTGCCACAAAGAAGAGGGAGTCAAGCTATTCTCCAAAGCACCTAAAGGCAGGACAAGAAGCAACGGGTGGAAACTAATCGAAGAGAGAAGCAACCTAGAACTAAGGAGAAATTTCTTGACAGTGAGAACAATTAATCATTGGAACAACTTGCCTCCAGAAGTTGTGGGTGCTCCAACACTGGAAATTTTTAAGAAGAGCTTGGACAGCCATTTGTCTGAAATGGGGTCTCCTGCTTGAGCAAAGGGTTGGACTGGAAGACCTCCAAGACCCCTTTCGACTCTGTCATTCTGTTATTTTAAGAATCTGTTTACATCGCAAGAATTTCGTGACTGTAACCTATCTTACCCTCATGAACGACTCCTGGAAAGAAACGGGATTCTCCCCAATATGTAGCCAAAGATTGGGGCCAAGAAAACTGAACGCAGTGCAGCCGCAGGAACGAGGATGAGGAATTTTACAGGACATTACAACAGAGAGATCAGTAGGTAGAATTCGAAACGTCTGAAGTTTTTACACCAACGCGCAGAGTGCAGAAAAGAAACAGGGAAATCCTAAATCAGGAAAACAAATGAGTTTAGGTGAACATTCCTGAAAAGTCTGCAAAAAGACAGCCAAGCTCAGAGAGCACCAAGGACCCCACAGTTCAACCCTGAGCTGCAAATATACTCCTCTATGGGTACGCTGTTGAAAGTTGGTGGGAAGATACTTAACACTGGCATGTATAGCAGGGCAAAGTAGCAATTTATTCAGATGGAACAAACTCAACAGAAAGGGTGTGGGAGTGTTGAATTAAATGTAAAGAACAAAATATGCTTGTTCAGAAATTGAGGAAAAAGCGTGGAAACCCTGTATAAAATACGTGATTGAAAATATATTATTGATTGATTAAATGTATTTGCCACCTCTCTCGCCACGAGGTGTCTCTGGATGGCTTACATCAGACATGTCAAACACAAGGCCCGGGGGCTGGATGCGGCCTGCGAAGTGGTTTCATGTGGCCTGCGAAGCCATCCTGGAAACAGTGAGGGAACGGCCCCCTCTGCCTTGGCCCTGGCCCAGGCCAGGCGGGAGCCAATGTACAATTTTGTGGTGGCCATCTATGCTGAAACACATTCAGTCTTAGCTCCACAAGGCCGTCTGGAAACAGCGAGGAACTAGCCCCTGCCGTGTCGGCCCCGCCCCCTGGGTGCATGCTGGGGAGGTGTCACCCTTTGCGAGGAATGAAGAAATGGACCATGCCTTGGCGCTTGCCCTGGTCCCACCCCCTTCTGCCAGAGACCTTCAGATCTGTCACACTCCTGCCCAGGCCCCCACAGGCACCCTTGACGCGAACGATGTAGAGCTGGCCACACCCACCCAGTAGGCCACACCCACTCCATCCACGCCCACCCAGTAGGCTGCACCCACCCTGGCCACACCCACCCAGCCCTCTGAGGGCAACGGCAATGCTGATGCGGCCCTCAATGAAATTGAGTTTGACACCCCTGGCTTACATTGTTAAAAGAATACTATCTCTAAGAATACAGAGAGAAACAAAAACCCGGATAGGATTATGAGAGTTTATTACCGACAGTTTGGACAGGCAGAAGATAAAGATGGGGTCATGAGGTCATAGGAACATAATTAGGGCCCATCTAGTCCAGCAGTCTGTTCTCACAGTGGCCAGCCAAGCACACAAGAAAGCCCACGAGTCTCCCAGCGGATGGCCTTCAGTGGCTGTCACACGGCCACCAAGGTTAATGGCTATTGATCTATTTGCATTAGATGACCAGCCTTTCAAAGAGGCAGGCAATATTGATAATGGAAAATTTCAATTATCCTGACATCTGCTGGGAATCGGCCAAGCGTCAAAGGTCGAAACAAATTCTTGTTCTCTCTTGCCGACTTCATTTCTCGGAAGATATTTAAAAAAAAGAAAAACAAGGGGATTTGCCAACCCGGATCTAATTCTCACCATCAAGAGTTGAATTGTTTAAAGAAGTGAAAATGACAGGTATCTTGGGGGGGGGAGTGAACACGTTAGCCTTGAATTAATGATCTCTGGAGAAAGAGAAAGGAGAAAGAGAGCAGATTTCGATGAACTCTAAGGAAGGAAAGGTCAGTTCCAATGGCCCTGGGATCCCAACAAAGAAAATTGTACAGGAGGGGTAGGAAGTCCTGCAAAATGACACACTGAAAGCGCAATCGCAAACAATCCCCGCGAGAAAAAAAAAGAGAGAGAGAAAAATCAAGAGGCCAAGGTGGGTATGTGCAGAATTCTCTAAAATGCTGAAAAAGAGTAAAAGAATCATACATGGGAAATGAAAGGAGGGGAATAGAAAGAATGAATAGAAAAGTTACCTCTAGAAATTGTGGGATCTGTCAAAAAAGGCAGAACTGAGAGTGAGGCGGGTCTTTCAAAAGACACCACAAATGATGAATGTGACAGAACTAAAGGAAAAGTAAAGAGACGGTAGATCTTTACAATGGGCCTCAAAAAACGACTTATGACTGTTTCCCACACTTATGACACTTTGATCATGTGATCAAAATTCGGGGACTTGGCAACTGGCACGCATTTATGACGGCTGCTGTGTCCCGATGTCATGTGATCAGCTTTTGCAACCCTCTGACAAGTAAAGTTAATGGGGGAAGCCGGCTTCAATTAACAACTGTGTTACTAACTTAACAACTGCAGTGATTCACTTAACAACTATGGCAGGAAAGGTCATAAAATGGGGCAAACTCACCTAACAACTGACTTGCTTAGCAACAGAAACTTTGGGCTCCACTGTGGTTTAGAAGTGAGGACTATATATAATAGTGAGAAGGCACGGCGCCAAAACTCCTGATTTTGTATCTGGCTTCTCTTGGAATGGAAAAAATGCCTGGTTCATTAATTCTATGAACAGGAAGGAAAACCTGAGGAAGATGAGCTCTTACTGTCATTTCCTAGGTCAGTGGTGGCGAACCTATGGCACGTGTGCCAGAGGCAGCATTCGGAGCCCTCTCTGTGGACCCGGAGCTGAGTGGACCCGGTTTCTGAGTCCGGGGAATCAGAGGAGGAGGGGCCTGGAGAGCCTGATGGAGGAAGACTCTGATGAGCTCCAGGACTTACAATCTGATGAAGAGCCTGGCCCCTCCAATCGTGCTCAGGCTGAGACTCAACTGTGCAGGAAAGCCGAGTCAGACTCAAGAGGACTCACAGCTGGAAGACATGATAGATGCTGGCAAACGCAGACAGGCAACAAGAGCAGGACAGAGGGAGGCAATGGGGCAACTCCAAGGGAGGAGGAGAAGGCATTGAGAAGCCATGCCTTGGGGCTGCATTATAAAAAATGGAAGGTGTGGGCGGTGCTGGTTGCTGAAGGCAACCGTTTGCAAAGGACTCCAGTTTCAAGGAATCCTGTTTTGTTTGCCTTGCTTGTGAACAATTCTCTGTTGGAATTGCGTTGTTTGCCTTGAACAATTCTGTTTGCATTGTGTTTTGTTTGCCTTTGCTTTTGGGACATTTTGCAGGTCTGTACCTAATTAATAAAAGGGGTTTGTTTTTCCTGCATTTCCAGCCTACTTGGTAAAAGAGGGGTTTGTCCTTGTGAATTAACGAGGACTCACATAGGCTGGGACAGAACACTATCTAGCCCAGGGGTAGGCAACCTTGGCTCTTTTAGTTGAAGTCCATGAGTCATAAAAGAGCCAAGGTTGCCTACCCCTGATCTAGCCAGTTTTGACTCTTTCCCAGTTATTTGCTCTGGCTGGTAGTAGCTTTCCATATTCTTTATTAGATTTTCATCCCACCTTCATTATCTTTATAAATAAGGCAGTGAACATATATACTACTCCTTCCTCCTATTTTTCCCACAACAACCCTGTTTTAAGATTTATGGACTTCAACTCCAAGAATTCTTCAGCCAGCTCTGCTAGCTGGGGAATTCTGGAATTTGAAGTCCATAAGTCTTAAAATTGCACTAGATCAACCTCTCAGAGAGAAGTTTCTTTCACCAGCACTTGATCTATTTAGCCTGTATTGGGAATGGGCTTCTGGATGCCAAGCTTTGGGAAATGAGACTAAACAACTTTGATGATTTCAATTCATCAAGATTTGATGGTATCAGCTTGAAGAGCTATGGTGGCGCAATGGTTAGAATACAGTATTGTCCACTGCCAGGAGTTCGATCCTGATCAGCTCAAGGCTGACTCAGCCTTCCGTCCTTCCAAGGTGGGTAAAATGAGGACCCAGATTGTTGGGGGCAAATAGGCTGACTCTGCAAACTGCCCAGAGAGGGCTGTAAAGCATTGTGAAGCGATAGGTAAGTCTAAGTTTTCTTGCTAACAGTTAATAAAGTCAGCAAGATTTTTCAAAGAGAATGATAAACAAGGGCAAATTACAGAAATGTGAGCTTTAGTAGTGTGTTTTACCACAATTGTGTTTTTCCGACACCTGGCACTCCGCAGATCTCTGTGATTTTGGTGAGCTGCACACCTCCACCCAGGATGTCATCCAGGGCGGAGCAAAAGGTGACGATGAATCCTTGAGTCTGCTCTTTTTCCAACAGTTCCAGGGCTGTACTCTTCTTAATGGCTTCTGCTTCCTCAGAAGTCTTTGCTCCATCGCTTTGCTGTTCCCGTTTGATCACCTTTAAAATTTCTAGAGCATCCTCTTTAGAAAGGCCAATCTCTGGAAAATCAAAATACCGAATATATTAATAGAATTTAAGAGGCACATTTAGTTAACTAATAGCCACTTAAAGAGGTATCCTTCTTTAGGGAATACCGACAAAGAATGTTCTAGTTGAAACTTTTAAGTTTTTTTGTTTTGCTGTGGCTGCTACTGGGCAATTGCTTTTTAATTACTACAAATGTTTCAACCTGTTTGTTATTAACTGTTCTTTTTATATACTGATAAATTGCGGTAGAGAAGGGCAGAGCATGAATAAACAACTGGTAGGAAGGAAAAATATGAAGCTTTCCTAAAATTAAGTGCCATATATTTTCTTAGGGTTTTGATATACCGGTATCTAAAAATCCCTTTTATTCCTCATTTTATTTCTGCTTCTTTAAACCCACCTTTTTTTTTAATGAAAACTAAAGCATGGTATGATAGCATCACCTTGTGGTCAACTAAGATAACAGTGCATTCCTACAGTGTTGTCCATTGAAAAGCAAAACCCACCGGTTTATTCTCCAATTTATTTTGTTACCTTAGAAATTAATGTATCTTACATTACAGTTTATAAAATGCCATAAAAATCCAGAAAGTGACACAAGATTCTTTGAACTCATGTTATGAATCAACTCCTTCAACATGATGAGTTCCCTTTCTATTCCCTCATTTAAGTCATTGGTGAAGATATTGAAGAGTACTGGGCCTAAGATGGAGCCTTGTGGTACCCCACTGCTTACTTCTCTCCATGTGGATGTAGTACCATTGAGGACTACTCATTGAGCACGGTTTTCAGCCAGCTACAAATCCATCTGGTGGTGATGTTGTCTATCTATTCCACCTTTTTCTAACTTACCAAGCAGTAGATTGTGGTCTAGTTTGTCAAATGCCTTACTGAAATCTAAGCATACTATGTCTACAGTGTTTTGCTGGTCTACTAATCTGGTCACTTTATCAAAGAACGAGATAAGATTGGTTTGGCATGATCTGTTTTTAACAAACCCGTGCTGGCTACAGGTTATAACTTTGTTTGCTTCTAGTTGATCTGTTTTTTGATTATCTTTTCCAGGATCTTCCCAGGTATTGATGTTAGACTGATTGGTCTGTAGTTTCCTGGGTCTGTTTTTTTTTCCTTTCTTGAACATGGGAACCATATCAGCCCTTTTCCAATCCTCAGGTACTTCCCTGGTGCTCCAGGATTTTTGAAAGATGTGATGTAATGATTCTGAGATAACTCTGGGATGTAATCTGCCGGGTCAATCGAAGTTATATACCGCCCATCTCACTATTGTATAATACATAACACACGGAATTCTACTCAAAGGCAATACAAGAGAATTTTAGGGAGAGAATGTTATATAAAGTTATGCATGACAAAATGCCTAGTTATTGTTTTTAATACCAACCCAGGATATATGTTTAGCTAGTCATCTTCTAGGGAAGGGGTCTCCAACCTTGGTAACTTTAAGACTTGTGGACTTCAAGTCCCAGAATTCCTCAGCCAGTTTGGCTGGCTGAGGAATTCTGGGAGTTGAAGTCCACAAGTCTTAACATTGTCAAGGTTTGGGGACCTCTATTCTAGGGGAGATGGGGGGGGGGGCACAGAGATGTAATAAATAAAACAAAGTAAATAGAGGAGCACTAGTTGTGAGTCTGACCCCCCCCGAAGACCCCCAACCCCATTTTAAGGGGTACAAAAAAAAATATCCTCCTCAACCACACAAAGCTCCGGCCGACAAGGTATGGGATGGTTAAATCCTGTCAAAGAAAAGGCGATTTCGGTTTATCGAGGCCCAGAAACCCATCCGAGTTCCAAACTTTTCCCCGAAAAAGACACCAAGCGCTCCAAAGGACGGAGGACAAGAAGGCGACCATTAAACCTCCCTCAGGAGGTGGTCGTGAGGAAGGAACCGA